ACATAGGGATAGAGAGAGGGATAGGGACAGACTATATATGGACACCATCCAGTCTTGTAGACTAAGATCAGAAGGTGCGCCCCTTCATGACATGACCTATGCTTGCAGGACTTTGGACACTCGATCTCATACTGAAGCCCTCGAATGTTCTACAGAGGACCCTGAGGTGCCTTTGAAGCCTAGCTTGTGGCTTTGGGTTGCCCTTACTGGCTATGTTTGACGCGCACATTTGCAACTTGCATTTCAAGGTGTGCCTTGCAAGGCTCCAAAACTTGTCTTTCCGAAGAGGCTTTCGAGGCTCAGATGTGGGTCGAATGGATCGATGCAAAAGTCGGTCGCCCACATGATCCTCATTCAATTCTGATGTTGCCCTCGTGAACTGGAAAGGCAGGAAACAAAAAATGACTTGGCTCCTGCATGCAAGAACTCCTGATATCGGAACATCCCGCCAATTAATTATACATTGCTTTTGTCATATAGGTGGGTACCCTTTATGGGCTATGGGATGCTGCTAAATGGCTTAGGGATTTGCGCGCTGAAACTCTGTTGGCCTTTTACAATAGGAGAGGACGTCTGAGGCTCCATCCAATGATATCATCAGGAACTGATGACGTGCCTGCTTGGACTTTACCGTTCAATTTCCCATAGTCGCCCATGGTCCCTGCTTTGAGCTAGAATAGAACATGTACTTAGCGCTTTCGACTTGGGACAGCCATCGACAGCCCGGAGTGAGCCCAAAGTAGTCCCCTCCGTGGCCCAGGCAGTGGAGCTGGGGGTGAAGTTTCCACATGTTCCCACCGGTATGTTGGACAGAGCAGGCCATAGCGGCCATAGCGGCCGAAGCAGTCCGAGCGCAAAGTGCCAGACTATCAGATTTGGTTTCGACAGGAGCGGGCTTTTATGCTAAGAGCTCTCCACAGCGGACGGGAGTAGTTAGCGCTACGCACAGCAGAGTAGGCCACAGCGGCCGTAGCTTTTGAACTCGAGATATATAATTCCTAAAGTTCTTGCACGCACAAACATACCAAACTAGACACGGTCACCCAGGTGATTTATGTAATGTGTTTTTTTTTTGTTGTTGTTCCCTTCCATCTGGTTTCCCTTTCGTTCGCAACTGCATACCTTTCCGCTTTTCATCATTTCATCCTTTTCTTCTTTTGCGCACACATCTGCCTATACTTCAAAAAAGGCTGATAGGTGCCCCATGAGGCTTGGCTCACACTTGGTTTTCCCTTCATTCGTGGCCTAAATCGCGTGCCCTTTTTCATGTCTTTTCATTGTTTTTGCGCGGGCATGTGCTTTCGATTCAACACCCCCGACCAAGGGCACCTATGGCATGTCTCTCTGCATATTTCCTTTTCCTTCCTCCTTCCTGGCTTTTCTATTTCCTTTCGCTACGCCGCGGGTTGGCCTGTCGCTTGACCACTTCGCCTTCCTCCTTTCTCCTCCTTCCTGTCCTTTCTCCCCTCGCCTTCAGCATGGACCTCGAAGCTGGCGGTCCCCCCACGGAGCGTGTGTGTGGGGCCCTTGGGTCCTGCGAAACAAAACCAAGTAAAAACAAAAAGCTTTCAGGGCTTCTCCTACTTTTTCGGACGGTGATTTCGTCTCCGTGTGTTTATATGGCCGGGCGCATCCCTCACAGTGCTGCTCTAAATGTTTGTTGGATTAAACTACTCGACTAACCTCGGTTTTGGGCCGGGGAAGACGCAAATGTTCGGGACCGCCCTGACCGCAAATCAAATGTATATAACTTAAAGACACCAGTACCAAGTTGGAAGTTGTTCAGTGGCCCCCGCTGAAACCCAAGAACATATAAGAACATATTTGGGGGTGGGGATTATAGAATTGTAACTTCCTGATCTTTACACTAGACTAGATAGAGATGTGTGTGTTTGCTTTTATTTGTCAGGTGTTTACATGTCGCAGCTGCCAAAAACCATTGGCTCTATGTTACATGTAGGCTAAAGTTTCGGAGGCCTCCAAAGCGGTCGTATGTAACATCAGAGAACTCAAGATAAACATTAATAAAAACACGTCCGGAAAAACGTCCATGCATGACCTCTGTGGGCAAATGGCAGCTAGGAAGAAAGAAACAACAACAAACACAAAAAACACATGACAGAAAAACACGGTCTAAAGAAACAGATGAAGAAACATAGACATGAAGAAAGAGGAACCTCCCAAAATGTAAGTTTCATTTTTTGGAGGCCTCCAATATATTGGTATGTGATTAGAAACCTAGAGGACACATGAGGACACATAGATAACTAAAGATACATAAAATAATGGAAAACAACCAATCAAAATTCCATGCATGGCCCCTGCCCCTACGGTCAAAGGGCTGCTAGGAAGAAAGAAAGAAAGAAAAAAGGAAGAAAGGAAGAAGGGAGGAAAGGAAGAAGGGAATAAAACAAAAGAAAGTAAGAAACCAAAAGAAAGGAAGAACACAAAAGGACGGAAGCAAACAAAAGAAAGAACCTCAACAAAAGAATGGATAAAAACGAGACATGTCCAAAGGAAATGAAAGGAAAAGATCAAGAACAAAACCTCACAAACAAATTAAACTAGACAGGCGGAGGCCTCTAAAACAGCGGCATGCATTACCCCAAAGGGTTCTAAACTGCTAAAGACACATACTGGAAAACAGTCAATAAAGTGTCCATGCATGGCCCCTGCGGCCAAATGGTAAACTAGGAGGAAAGGAAGGAAGGCCAAAAAAACTAGAGAAACAAGGACATGTCTAAAAAGTGAAGAAATTAAGAAAGAACACAATCTCACAAAACATGTGAGCTACTACACTGGCGGAGGTTTCTACAACAGTGATGCTGACAGTTGTGGTCCTGACAGTGCAGATTAACGTGTAGACGGGGCCCCAGGAAATGTAGGCGAAATGACCTCAGCTCGAGTCTGCCTTTCCCCACTCCGTAGTGGCATGCAACCTCAACTTGGTCGCCCTTCCAATTGCAACTGTTCCGCTCCTTAAAAGTGAACACGTGCCTGGTGATTTTCGAACAGGACACGGGAACCGAAAACCAAAAGAGACAAGTTTTGATAAGACAGCCAAGCCTCCTCCTGAGTATGATTATCACCAAAAAGACTGATTATTGTTTGAGTTAAGGATCAGATGTTTGTGCACGGTGCCAGAAATTGAACTTCAATCGCGCCTGAACATTTGCCTGGAAGCCTGGCTGGAAGCCTGGTGTGCAGTTGCAAGACATGTGGTGTGTAAGCCAGTGAGTTCCTTTTTTGGGCATAGTGCTCTTTTTTTGCAACCACTTTGCAGTCGCTGAAGCTGCGGAAGCTGTGCGGAAACCCCTTTTGTGTGCAAGACTGTGCAAAGGCTGATTGGCCACTAAAATTTTCAAGAACACTAAACACCTGCCGATTTTCGCAGAAGCTGTGCGGAAGGCTCGCGCAAGCCCTACTTCCCAATTTGTAGGGTCCCATTCTTAGCCAGATGTGCAGCCACGAAGACACCATGCAAGAACTTAGAAGTGACAACTCCAAGAAATCTAGCTGTCCTACTCTAGATCATTGTCATCATTGCACCAAGACCGCACGCGGAAGCAACCTTGAAGAAACCCTCGGTAACTAGTGCCGCGTAAGTTCAAAAGTCCCCACCCAACAAATAGCAGTGTACTCAGCAGGGACGACAGATCGCTTGAAAGCAGCCTTCGCAGCCTCCAATGGTATGAAATGCTTTCCTGGAAGTACTTGTGCAATGAACTGTTGGCTCGTCGGTCAACAGTTGAAACAACAGGTCCAGGAAAGCAACAATGAAGCTCATTGCTGTTGCTGCGCCGGTGATATTCCCCCTTACTGAAGCCACTCAAGAAATGACACTGTCATTGATGGCCTACAATATATAATTGTACAGTAAAGTGCTGGTTCCTTGAATGTTAAAGATATTGACATTGAATCATTGAATATTGTCCATTGGTGGAATCCAGAGATGATCTCATAGAAAAGTGCCGTTGTGAACATGACATTGGGATGTGGCTTGATCCTTTCACAGACGGCATATGCATTCTGTCATGAGCACGTGGACTGTCGTTTAAGTTGCACGCGGTTTGGAGTTTGCTCATTGACCTGCAAAATTAATTCATGAAGAATTGGGGGGTGGTACATGACCACGTGAGAATGTCGAGTGACGGCCCTTTCTTCAGGGCTATCAAACTTATGGCTGGCCCCTTTTTTTGTAGAACCACTTCGTTGTCTCCTGCATGCATGACCTTGAACATGAATTCACATTTTATTGAATTTTGATGACTTTTGCTCTCCTCCCTTGAGGTGATCCTGAATCTGGGGATGAATTTGATAAAATGGGTTGGCCAAGCATTTTGTAGAGCCTATTCCATAGACGGTAACTTTTTTATAGAATGCTTAGGGATGGATTTTGCTTTCAATGTATAGATGTGTAGCCGTGTGCAAACGGCGGTAGGATATGATATGCGTATTATATATATATACATATCATATGCGTGTCTATTTAAGACTATACATAGAGAGACATTCGTTTAATATAGATGCATATATATGTGTTAAGAAACAATTGTTAAAGGCGTGCAGTGTACATTCACAATATGCGGCGTGACCGTGACCTCCCATTCTGGAAACTAAAGAACAAGCAGGGCTGCTTTGGCAATACCACTGGCAACACTGCGTGTAGTTATCTGGTATTGACTCTGACTCTTGGGTTCTTGCCAGTACATTTCGTTCGTTGCTTTTCCGTTTTGCGACTTTGGGACCTTTAACTCCCTCCTGTTTTCTTAAGAACATCTTGTTCTTGTGCCACGCTGACAGGCCATCCTGGGCTTTTGTATGGTGAATTTGGTGGACTTGCTGACAGCAGAGCAGAGTAGTCTGAGTAGTCAGAAAACACAAGAAAAAAGGACCGCGGTGGAGAAAACCATTGGCCCAATTATGTCTATGCAAGCGGGCCAATTATCTTGATTCATCTTGATGTGGGAAGAGTCACCTTGGTGTTTTTCGCTGCGCAGATGGTATCATCAGTGGCACATATGCTCACCGCTATCGCCGACGCGGGCGCTGTTGCGGACTCGGACGGCGTCTCAGATTGAAAAACCCAGATGCAACTCCAGAGGCAGTAGTAGCACGGTTGTTTAGCTTGGACCACAGGTGGTCTCATTCCTGAACAATATGGTGAACCTGCCCTTTTCTCAGACTTTCTACATTATCTTTCTACGGTCGAGTGCAGTAATTCGCTACTTGACCATCCGTATTTTGAGGTCTGTGGATTTGGGTTATATTTCAGCAGATGGCTCTTTGGGCTCGTCAGCCATGACCCTAAAACGACGAAGGCAGTATCGGCAAGTCGGCTTGGCAAGGTTCTTTCTAATAGCAGGCGCATGCTAAACGTTTGTACAAATATCCGGTGCATATTCCAAGACACTATATAACCACCGATCAGGTAGAAGTAATTACTGTACAGTAATTATATATACAGCAATCCTTTGTCGCTTGTACTTGTCAGGGTCCTTTGGCATTTGACATGAAGCGAATTCTTTTGCTGAATCCCAAGCAGGAGGACATTCTCATGCTTAGGAGCTGCTGCAGGAAGGGCCCATTCCCTTTTCATGGCAAAGGCCTCACTCACCTGCCACCAAATCCTTGGTTACAACTTTCTCTTGGCTCACTTCTGAAATTGACCCCTTGATGAAATGAAGGCTATAGCCCGTGAAAGTCCCGTCGCTGCAAGTGGATGTTGAGGTGTTGTGGAAACACAATCCGGGCTTGTCCTGTGTTGCTGTTGCTGGCACATGCCAAAGATGTACATGCATAGATGTGTAGCATATGCTGGCTTGCCGGCATATTTTGGTATCCCCACCCATATTTGCCTCTCATATTCCCTCCCTGCCAAGGAATATGTCGATGTTGCAAACAGTCTGCCAGTCCCCAAGGGCATGTGAATCGAGTCAAACGTTTGGCAAATTGAGCCGCTTGTGAGCTGTTTGAGCTTTGTGTTGCCATTAGCCTAGTAAAGGATTCAGGGGAGACACTTTGACAATTATCCTAATGGCGATGGCCTCCACCCCTGTAGCGATGGCCTTCAACCTACTAGCGATGGCCTCCAAACTAGCGATGCCATTTTAGATTTTATATTCTTTTCACACTGAGGTTTAGTGCCATTGATGCTATCACGCCCGGTGTGGTGAGGATCTCAAGAGTATCGAAGTTCCCACATGGCGACAGGAACCACCTGCAGGGGATGTATATTATAGACAAATATGTAACTCTATTCAAGCCAAGCAAGCAGAGGGGCATGCAAGAAGTAGCCTTTGGATGAGGTACCGTCCTACGAAAATGCAACTGCTCGTCGCCTGAAGGGAGGCCGTGGCATGGGCGGCATGGCCCGGTGCTCAAAAGGGCAGAGGTGACACAGACAGAAACTTAGATATAGGCTCGCAGCCTCGCACGAACAGTATCAGAGTGTCCGGTGTTACTGCAATTAGACCTTTAATGCAATTAGACCTTGGGTGAGGGAACGCAAAGGTGAATGAGTTTGCGACAACAGTATTGTTTGAACAAAGGTGAAACGTGAAGAATGTACTAAAAATCTTGCAGGTACGTCCAGAAAACGTCCCTTCTGGATATCACGACCAAGCTATCACTGTCTTCGTTGGGCAGTGAGTGATAGTAGTCCACTACAGTCCACTGCCCCCCTGCGGGTACTGCACAGGAAGTTACATGAGAGTTAAAACATGGCAGTGTGTGGTACCCCTGGAAATGGGGTGTGGCACACAGACACACACTTACACACAAAGAGCCGATTGACGGCGCACACTGAGCAAGAAAGCCTGCTCTACAATCTAACAAGCCTGTAGGAACGAACGAAAGACCTAGAAAGGGAAAACAGAAGAGGAAGGAAAGTAGCTCCAAAAAGATCTGTACACGCGCGGCTCGGACTTGACTAAAAACCGGATTACCAACCTAAAGACCTCTAGTTTAGAAGAGAGAAAGGCCTAGAAAGAGAAATGCAAGGCAGGAGAGAACGATAGCGGAGGGGGGTGCCAGTGTCTTTTTGGGGGTTGTGTGTGGGCGGAGCCTCGGCTGTGCACCAGGGATTTTCTCGCCTGTGCACGCGTAAGGATTGGCTCGGCTGTGCACGTGCTACATGGTACTTTGGAAGCAAATAGCCAAAAGAGCTGAGATCATCATGTAGAAGAATGTCCACAGAGACGTTATTAACACCGCACCCCCCCACCCACCCCACCTCACCCCAACAAGAAATTTAAACTTAATCAGAAAGTGAGCATCTGTGCTCATTGACCTGACCTAACAACATGTCAGGCACGCATCACATCAAATCAATTTGTGTGTGCGCAGGTGAGTTTGTGGTACCACGCATGGTTATGTGTGCACAGGTGAGCTCATCCTGTGTGCGCAGGTGAGTTACTCTTAAAAACATAGTGTGTGTACAGGTGAGCTGATGTTGCGCAAGTGAGGCGCCATCCTTGTGTGTGGGATGGTGGGTCAACTAAACGAGCCTGAAAAGCAACCTAACAAGTCCCAAGGCAAAGACCTAACAATTGAGAGAAAACCAGAAGAGAAAGAAGGGGGGTGTGGGGGGTGGGCTGAAAGGCACTTGGCCGCAAAGCTGAATCCGGCGCACCCTTGACTGAAGCCTCACTTACGACCTAACAAGCCTCTAGCAACGAACGAAGACTTAGAAAGAGAAGACCCAAGAAGGAGAGAAAGAGGTGGCCGATGCATGAATTACTCAGTTGGATGATTAAAAGGTGAAATTCCTAGATCGTGGTATGTCATCCTTCTTCTTATTCAGATTTGTGCAGTGATCCCTGCGGCATTCGATCAGCAATCTCATGGAAGACGAAAAACCGGGAGCGTTCGAGCAATCAGAATGATGAGTGGCGTTCTCCCTTGAGGGTTTGTGCTAAACGCGCCCGAAAACTGGATTCACACAGTGCACCGCGGTGGGACGGCACTGCAGGTCACACTTAGGTATAGGCTCGCAAGAACATAATTCAGTTGTGAGTGCCCGGTGTTACTGCAATTAGCCCTTTAATGCAATTAGACCTTGGTTGAGGGACCGGAAAGGTGAATGAGTCCGCGAACCGTATTGTTTGAACAAAGGTGAGACGTGAAAAATGCACCAATATTCCATCCAGGTACGTCCAGAAAGCGTCCCTTCTGGATATCACGACCCAACTATCACTGTCTTCGTCGGGCAGTGAATGATAGTAGCCCACTGCCCCCTGCTGGTACGGTACAGGAAGTTACAGTAAATGAGAATTCAAAAAGGCAGTGTGTGGTGCCCCTGGAAACGGGGTGTGCAACACACACACACAATAAGTACAAACGATGGGCTTGCCAAAGTGATGCCATGGTGGTCATTGTTAAACCTGGTGTTGCCAGTGTCCTCTAAAATATGCACGGCACTTTCATTGGTACCGTGCGAGGCTTAACATAACATGCTGCTTGCCTGGGTGTGTGCCCGTGCCGGGTTCATCCGACCCCCTTTATGCCAGATTGACTCACCTTGCTATTAGTAGCTTCTAGCTACTCATAGTCTTTGCTCATTCATGTGCAGAAGACTTGAATCACCACTGGATGGGAACCCAGCGACCTGGGTAAGTCAAGTGGTTGACCCAGCGTGAGATGTTGGAAGTCATGTTGGGAGTCCTCATGGCCGCGAAATGATTGGCAACTGCAGGCGGGCCACCTCCCAACAGCGAAACACCCAGAAACACACGTTACTCAAATGCGAACAGGGGAAGACTTAAGAATCAATAAGAATCATAGAAGATCTATCCATTGGCCTTGTTGTGTAATGTTGTGTATTAAAGTCGCCGTTTTGCATAAAAAAATGCGTCAACAGCTCACGGAAGGTAGCATCAAGGGTTGGGCTGCAGCAACTGATTGATCAGGTGCTCTCTCGACAGGTGGATGTAAGGTTCGATTTGGGTCGATTCGGATCGATTCCTTCCACCTTTCCTGGGTCAAGTCGATGGGACACAGTGCGACGTGACTGCGAACCATGTTCAGTTGTGCCGCGGAATGGGCCCTTGAAACCCACCAGTTCACCACCATTTTGCGAGCAGGGAATCCAAGGAGAAACTAGCACCGCCTTTCACCAGCTGTATCTCCGTAGTCGTGCGTCACCACCCGAAACAACTCACCAGAACTCACTGCTTCCGTAGAGGCAGTCCACGGATTCCGAAAGGTGACCGAAACATACCAATAGAATTCGTGCGGTCAAACAAAGGCAAACGGAAGGGTAGTGCACAGAAAGGGTTTTGCAAAAATCTACAGTATTCTACTAACATCGTGGAAGGCGCGGGACATTCGTAGAACCCAAGGCTATTCGTGGACAGTTCGTGGAATGGTGGGCCAGTAGAACTGACTGCAATGAAATCCCAGAAACCTTCGCAGAACTTCGTGGAAGGTGTTTTTGATGCACTAACTTCGTATAAGCGATTTTTGCTGACCCCTTTTCTCCACACACCCTCCATTTAGCCTTCAAAACTGTTGCCCCCTTGAACGGTGGCCCAGCAAGTCAGCACACAAACAGGACATCAACCAAAAGCAAGGTCGTCATTTCAGTTCATTCGCCCTAGCCTGTGCTGAATGACTCTCAGCCCTAGGCGATAAACAGGACCCACTTCCCGGCTGCAGTGCCTGCACAATGAATCTAGGAACCAAATGAATAGTGAATAGTGTGAGCGCTTCTTCAAGGAAGCGGCTCCTCCCGCCCTCAGGCGGGGGGAGCTTCCTTGAAGAGGCGTGGGCTATTTTGCGTCCTAGGAGCTTACTTAAGTTACTAGCCATATACCTCTTACAGCCCACCCCCGCTTCAAAAACAACACAACTAAACACATCGGAAAAAAAACAGAATTCTTGCTGGAGTGAGGTGGCTCACATTAAGGATGTCAAGTAGGTTGTCACTTTGTCATTCAGGTGCCTGCGGAATGGCCTCGGCGCTTGCAGACTGTGGAAACGAGAAGCGCAGAGGAGATGTACTGTCCTCAAGGATGAATCGGAGAATTCGGAGACCTTCACCTTAGCTTTGATTGGGCGTCAACTTTATGGGGTGGGAGATGCTGCTTTTGGAGCAGATGTGCAGGTACAACCACTTCCAAATAGCGACTGCCCTGGTGACTGCTATGTCATACGCCTCAACCTGAGCAAGTCAGTGGTGACCACTTGCTTTTGCCAGGGCGTGTGCAATCTCCCACCCATCAACACATTGTTTGCTTTGCAATTTTGTCACTGCATCTACTGAGGTCCTACACGTCCAACTGTACCCGGGCGAGGTGTGTGTGTCAACCAAACTGTTTAAGTTTTGTTGCCCGTGCACTGTGCGCACGTTGCAAGCTGTGCAGGCTCCAATCAGCTTTGCACTACGAGGTCAAGACATCTACTTGGGATCAGCCTGGCTTGTTTGTTGCATTTCCCGTCTATTTTTGGATAGTGGGCAACTCGTTGTCGTAAGTGACCACGCTCTCTCAACACTATATATAGCCTAGCTGTTTCCAGGCAAAGACTTCAGCAGCATCAATGAAGCAGAGCAGTCGAATGCACCCATCACCACCCTGTCGCTTGCTGCAAGTATGCTGCACCATCAAGACATTCTTTCCTTGGGGGCTGAGGGATGGTTGGGGGCGGTGGGGTGAATCTTCAGCAGCAGCGGCATGCAGTTGTTGCAGGATTTGGGATGTCAAACAGACTTGAGACACCTGCATTGAGGTTTGACACCCCAAGCCTGGTGCTCAATCCCCCGTTGACCAAGCAAAATCTCCAGAATGTGCTTCTTTGTGGCCGGCCTCAATTCAACTGTTCACTGCAGGTCTGGAACGCCCTGGCATGCCAGAGATCCACAATTACAGGTATGTGCAATTCAAGCGAAGCCCTCAATCCCAGCTGGAGAAACTTCCAGAAACCATGGCTTTCCTAAGCTCCTCTTTCATCAGCATCAACAGGAAAAGACTAGATGACAGGTTGATCATATGAGACCATCGTATATCACGAGGTATCATATGTGACTGAAATGAGAATCATCATATCACAGACTCCGGCAACATGTAAAACAATACAGTACTGTAAGTGGCGAGATCATAGCATAGCATCTCACACACACAGCATTGAGAGGGAATTGAATGCAACAATACACTGCACAGGTATCGCTGTAGAAACGTTCCACCTCAGCACCAGTAGAAATGGGCTTCCGGCAATGATGGGTCCTAAAGAGAAAGGACAGGAACATGAAATGATCTTAAAGGAAGTGACGGGGATAATTGCAGGGGCTTCAAAAGACAAGTTCATGGAAGAGATCGAAATAGTAAATGTGGTGAAAGGAGCATGAACCAACTTGAAGGGAAATGAAGGGCATGAAAAGACATTTATTTTAATGGATACCCCAGCCTGCGCACAAGCTTTTGAATCAAAAGCTAACCGAAGCACACTCATTTCGCATCCGACTGTAGAGGGTTGCACGAGGTACCAGAGAGTTCGCATGCGACCACACGTTCGCACATCCGACACGCACGGTCCACGCAAAGGGTCACGACTTCTTTGCACTGCGGAGAGGGACAGAACCTTATTAGAACATATGTGAAGTGCACGCCGTGCACTAGGAAACGAAACCACAAACCTGTCCATCCGAGACTGGGTGGGCTCAAGCTTGCCAACAAAACACGCTTGCGGTGTGGCTGCCCCCGGGCGGCTTTGCGCGCGTTGCGCTTCGGTTCGTTCGCGCTTTTGCGTTCGACTTGTGTCGTGGACCTTGTGAGCCACTTCTACATCTTCATATTGGTAGCGGAGCCCCAGTCCGGGGCTCTGCATGCTCTACGCTTTGACGAGCCAGAGGTCCTGCGTAAGACCCGGGTCACGAACGGTCAAAGGAGCTCTTCACTGGTTGCATTTGCTTGCGCTTGCATTTGTTCTTCTCTTCACCAACGGCTTTGAGGCCAGCAAGCACGATCTTGAAGAGCTCTATCACCTTGCCCTGCCCTACATGGGAAAGCCAGCGAAACAACAGACCCAGGCTGCTACTTCATCGACCTCGAGCTCCAAGGATGGCGGCACTGGCTTTGTCGATCTCCGTGACAGCTACGTGCCGGTCTTCACAGGCCAACCGTCCAACTACAAGGAATGGCGACAGAGGATACATCTGTATCATCGAAAGATGACAATCCCGAAGAGGAGCAATGAAAGTGTGCTGAACATCGTGGGGTCGTTCACTGGAGTGACGTGGCGACTGTTCCAGGATTGGTCTATTGAAGAGTTGGAGAAGGACGGCGCTTTTGAGCGTTTGATCAAGACCCTGGACGACAACTTCGCCTACGATTCCCGCGTGCAGCTTCCAGCAGACTTTGAACAGTATACTTCAACCTCCTCAATCGACCACCAGGTCAGACCCTCCTTCTGTACGTGGCTGACCATGAGGAGGCGTACAGGAAGCTGCAACAGCACAAGGTGGACCTGCCCTCTTCAGTGCAAGGATGGCATCTTCTCCGTCGGGCATCCTTGAGTCGTGAACAACAACAGTTGATCACCCTGCGCGCTCCCAACCTAGAGAAGAATGAGGTGATCGAGGCACAATGTACCTCATTTTGGGCCAGGACTTCAAGGGCGGTGGCTGGAATGCCGACCGCAACCGTTGCTTCGGCTACAATGCCAACCAGTGGAAGAATCGGGCCTATGCAGCTACGGACGAGGCCGAGTATGACTATGACGACTATGACCACTGGGAGACAGGCTACTATGAAGGGGATGACTGGCCGGAAGAACCTGACCTCGAGCCTGACGAGTCCTATGACTTCGACGAGGATGCAGGTTACTACGGCGACGAACCCTGGCCGGAGAATGTCAATGACACCTCAGCAACTCTCTCTCCTCATGAGCTTGCGGAGGAGTATGACATGGCTTTCGCATCGTACACTGATGCCAGAAAGAGGTTCCAAGAACTCAAGATGTCCCGTGGCTATCTTCCCATAGTTGCCCTGGCTGATCCTCAGCAAGGAGGTCAATCGCCGACTTCACCGACTACATCTCCCTCCAACTGGCGAGCAAGCGGAAAGGAAAAGGGCAACTCCAAGTCCGGCAAATATCCAAGTCCAAATCCAAGACTACCATTCGCTATCCTCCTCAAGGAGCTGGACACTTTGATCCCAAGGGAAGGGCCAAGGCAAATATGACTTGCCTTCGCTGTGGACAGCCCGGTCATTGGGCGGCCAATTGCCCACAGAACTCCTCCGGAGCCTCTCGATCTGGCCAGAAGAGGCCAGCACCATCTACGACTGAAGGTATAGCCCTGCAGACTACCTTCCAAGCTGAAGAAATGGCCATGCTTTTGTTTCAAGATCAACAAGGCAATGAACGTCCAGACTGTGTCATGCTGGACCCCGGAGCAAGTGCCTTCCTCAGTGGGTATGGACCCTTCAATTCAAAAGGTACTTGGACCACCTCCAGACCTTCGACTTTCCGATCGAGAGCATCAAGATGAGCAAAGGACGACGCCGATTCCAATTTGGCGGCGATGCAGCACTCTGGTCGGAGTGGTCCGCTCACCTTCCCACCTTCATCGACGGCAAGTTCGGCACCATTGAGCTGTTCTTGTTGCCTGGAGGGACACCGATGTTGTGTGGACGCCCCATCATTGAGGCTCTCGGCATCACTATGGATTTTGCTCGCAAGCGACTTCGCTTTGGGGCATCTCAGTGGGTTGAGGCCACTCTGGGACGACAAGGTGAGTATCTTTGGTCCTTGACCTCGGAGCATGACAACATGGACTATGACGTCAACAAGCCCGACTTCGAGCTTCGCACGGCCGACCCTGATGTGAAGCATGTCGATGGCTACCACCTCACCGACTTCCTGGATGCCGAGCACGGCTTTACTGCTCGTGAAGAGCTTGGGAAAAGGGAAGACAAACCTGAGATTCGCACCCTGAAGCAAGAGCTCAAAACCATGGACGTGCACCTTCGCACTCACCTGAACAACCTGTCCGCCTTTGTGACCAAGGAGCTCCATCGTCCAGAACGACCTCGAGTCTTGTGGGAAGTGTATTGCGGCACTGCTCGCACCTCTCAGGTGGCTGAATCGATGGGCATGGAGGTGAGGCGATTCTCCTATGAGACTGGCTGGGATTTCGATCGCCTGGATCACCAGCAGCAGTTCCTCGTTCTCTTGGAGGAAGAGCAGCCGGATGAAGTCTTGATCACCCCTGAGTGCAAACTTTGGTCACGAATGCAAAGTCTTGGACGTCGCACTTGGCATCAACAAGAAGCCCTGATTGCTGCGAGAGAGCGACACCATGATCGCCACCTCATGTTTACCAAGAAGGTCTACTTGACCCAGATCAACGGCGGGCGTCACGCCACAGTGGAGCAGCCCAAGCATGCTCTCTCTTGGCGAACCCGTGCTCTCCGAGATCTTCCCGGACGACGAGCTGACTTCTCCCAATGCCGCTACGGTGCACAGTGCTTGGACACCGATGGCATCTGGCGCCCAGTGAGAAAAGACACCACTCTCCTCACAAGCAAGCGATCAGTGCAGGACGCTATGAGCTTGTGCTGCCAGAAAGACCATCAACACTGCCACCTCGAAGGCGCTGCACCTGGCTATGGATCTCGCACCCACTACATGGAGGAGTATCAACCTGGACTGGCTGCAACTCTCGCCGGAGCTCTATGCATTGATGAGGCTCCCATCCACTGGGAAACTGCCTGTGCAGCCGAGGAGGAGAAGCAAACCACTGGCTCCCTCATCAAGCTCAAGGCCGATACTCGTCAAGAGGCCATCAGAGTTGTGCAACGGCTCCATCGCAATCTGGGCCATCCTGGACCAGAGGCTCTCGCAGAACTTCTTGCAGCACGTGGCGCCTCTGAGTCTGTGATCAATGCTGCAAAAGGCTATGTTTGTACCGCGTGCGCCAAGTACAAACGCCCAGCACAAGCAGCACCTGCTGCAATGCCAAAGGCCAAGGACTTCAATGCCCTGGTCCAAGCCGATGTCTTCTGGTTGCGACGTGGAAGCACCAAGTTCCCCATCCTGAGCCTGGTTGACTCTGCCACTCGATACACGGCCGCCAGAATGAGCAATCCGAGCACTACATTCGTGCAGTTGAGAAGGCGTGGATTGCATTGTTTGGCCCACCGGTCGTCCTGATGACTGACGAAGGCCGTCCCTGGCTTGGTCGAGCTATGGATGAGTGGACAACGGCTCACAACATTGAGCACGTGGTTGCCCCAGGAGAGGCACATGAGCGCTTGGCTCTGGTGGAACGGCGTCACGCCGTGATTTGCCGTGCAGTGGAGATCAGCACGTGGACAATGCACCAGGCATCAAGGAGGCTCTCGCCTATGTGATTCCTCAGCTCAACGCTTCCTCAAGCGTCGCTGGCTTCAGTCCCATGCACACAATGGGTACTTGGTCATCAGCCCAGTCTGGCTGGCGATCTCTTGGCTGACAACACCTAGGCACCTAAACACCACCTTTGAGGAGATGCTTACCAAGCGCCATGCGGCCAAGAAAGCCTTGCTGGATGCCGACGCAGACCGTCGCTTGCGTCGAGCCCTGAGCTTGAAGTACAAGGGTGTCAACGCTGAGTACAGCCTTGGCCAAAAGGTGTGGTTCTGGCGCGATGCCAAGCAGCCTGATCTTGTCAAGATCCGTTGGCTCGGGCCTGCGCAGGTCGTCATGAAGGAGTACAAGAAAGATGAGGCCGAGAACCCCCAGGTGAATGTCTACTGGCTGGCCTTCAAGACCCAGTTGATCAGGTGCGCACCGCACCATGTCAGAGCCGATGTCAAGAGCTTGGGTCATGCCCTATAGACGACACTCAGAGTGCCTTGAACACGGTTCGCCAGCTGAGATCTCGTGGAGTCACTCGGTACTACGACCTGAACCAGGCCAATCGCCAGAACCTGGCCGACGTTGAGGATGACGAACATGGTGAAGCTGACACCATTGAGTCTGCATGAAATGGCACCACCTCGTCAGCGACCCAGATTGGCTCTCAGCCTACCGGAAGCGCCGGACACTGGTGAACCTCCACAGGTTGCACCTCAAGATCCACAACCTGGCGCAGATCCTCAAGCATCACAACCACCTGAGATCCCTGCAGCACAATTGCCACCAGTACCAATGTCACCAGGCAGTCTCTCACAGATCAGCCAGGAACCCAGTGAGGAACCACCGATTCCATCAGGCCAACCAACGCCACATGCAGCTCCAGACAAACCGGAACTGCATCCGCAAACGGCTGCACTGTATGAGGCAGCAGGACCTGAGACATTCCAACAACGGCGGCTACGCTTCAGCCAGCAGGAAACGTTGAGCTTTGCACCATGGCGTACACGCCATCAGCACCAACCAGCACCCTACGGGCCGGCTCCAGAACATGAACATGTACCACAAACAGCGGCAGCAGCAGAAGCATCAGCAACCCAGACCGCCACGCCGATCACCGGCGAACAGCCTCCAGGGCAAGCCTTCCAAGTTGAAGATCTTGACCCGAAGCTGCTACCAGCTGGCTGGCATGTTGATGAAGAGGGCTATATCAGCCTCAATGACCGCCCAACGGATTACTGGGAGGTCAAAGCCGGTTGTCTGATCCGGCACCACCTCGTACCAAGACGAGGGAAGATGAACATTGACAACCTGCCCAAAGATTGTCCGGTGCCGGTGGCCCAATTGGATCGAGTGAAAGTCACTCTCATCCACCAACAAGGAGGAGGCAAGGGCCGGCTGATGACTGATGATGGCACGGACACACAACCTCCAAAAGATCTGAAATCCTCCTGGACCGGCGTCACTGTCTTCCAGATCAACGGCACTTTGCGGAAGGAGATGGCTATGCATGGAGGCCACCATCAAACCTTCACCTCGGCCAAACAAGAGGCCAAAAGTCAGAAGTTGGCTCGAGTGAAGAAGATGAAGACGGCAAAGAATGATGTCAATGAGCGCCATCTCGGTCCTCATGAACGTGCCATGTTCAAGGAGGCAAAGGTCAAAGAGCTGAAGAGTTTCTTCGACCATGGCGTCTGGACTTTCCAGACCAAGTCCGAAGCTGACGAGGCCCGCACCTTGACCTCACGGATCATCCTCAAATGGTCCAAACATCCCGATGGAAGCCCAAGGGCGAAAGCCCGACTCATCGTCAGAGGGTACAACGACCCAGACGCGCTGGCCGGACAGATTCCCACATCCAGTCCTACTACGACTCGCTTGTCAAGAAGCATTGTCCTGTCACTTGCAGCCAACTTGAACTGGAACATGTGGACGGCTGACGTCTCAACTGCCTTCCTACAGGGCCGATGTCAGGATCGCAAACTGTGGGTGAAACTGCCTAACGAGGCCCTCCAGCTACGAGCCGACCAGGACACCAGGATGCTCCTCCTGAAACCATGCTACGGGCAGATCGATGCTCCCAGAGGCTGGTACTTGGAGGCAGTCGACCGCCTTCTTCGAGCAGGATTACGTCAACGCCCGCTCGATCCTTGTGCTTTCCTCATCTATGAGTCCGACTCTCCGGACTACAAGGCTGAAGACCCCATCTATGAGGAGGTGAGTTCTCTGGGCCCCGAACGTTTGTGTGGCATGGTGATCATGCATGTTCATGATATGCTTGGAGCTGGTTGCCCACGTTCACCTCGCTACAAGGCCGTCACGGACCTGCTGCGGGAGAACTTCTCGTTCAGAGAGTGGAAAGAAGAGGAACCGACTCTGGAATACTGTGGATGTCAACTTGAGAAGACAGAAGCTGGAGGCCGACGACTCCATCAAGAGCCATATATGGGCAAGATCAAACCCATCAGCTTCTCCAAGGGACGTCCAATGTCTGACTACCTCCTGGACAAAGAGATCACCCAAGTCCGTGGTTTGCTCGGATCGCTCCAATGGCCCGGTGTTCAGACCTCACCGCATCTACAGTGCTCCACCTCGATGCTTGCTGGCCAAATCACCAAGGCCACAGTGCAGACTCTCCACGAGTGCAACAGGCTCCTGAAGTTCGCCAAGGAAAACAAAGATGTGAGCTTACACTACAACCGCCTATGTCATCCTGATGAGCTCCAACTGCTGTGCTTCTTCGACGCTGGCTTCACTGCCAGGACTGATGGAAGCTCGCAGGGTGGCTACATCACCTGCTGGTCAACAAGACCCTGCTTTCCTCAGCTGAGGAGGGCGAATACCATGTTTTGGACTGGCGCAGCTTCCGCACACCTCGTGTTGCTCGCAGCAGCTTGGGCGCTGAGGCACAGGCCGGAGGCCAGGCAGTGGATGCAGTTGATTTCACCTGCCGTTGCTGGCACTTCTTGATGCACCCCAACACCAGGCTGAAGGATCTGATTGAGATCCCATCGTCGCTCAAGCCAGTTCTCATCACCGATGCCAAAGCTCTCTATGATTCCTACCACCGAGAGGGAATCAGTTCGTCGGTGGTGGACAAGCGCGTCTCCTTGGAGATAAGAGTGATGAAGGAGCGCTTGGAGGAGCTGTCTGGCTCCCTTCGATGGATGAGCTCTGAAAGGCAGGTGGCTGATGGCTTGACGAAGGAGTCTGCAAGAGGACTCTTGGCTTCGAGGCTTCGCCATGGAAAGCTGAAGATGACCTGGGATCCACACTATGTGGCGCACAAGAAGAAAACCAAGGCCGAGAAGGCCGCTGCCCTAGCAGAATCCACTGCACTTCCTTCTCTTCCTCAACGCACTGAGGACTTCATGGAAGATGAGCGCCCCCAGGATGTCAATGACGACCCTCAGACTGAGCACACCACTGAGTATGACACCACTCCTGAGGTCAATGAGGCTTCAACGAATGAAGAGTGGCAGTTTGACGAGAGTGACCACACTGAGCTTGTCAGCTTTGTTCAGTATGTCGGCGCTCTTGAGTACGTGGACGCCAAACGCCATGTCGCGCCGCCTCCCCAGGACTATGTCAGCATGAGCTACTTGAAGACTCTGTTCCTTGGGCTTGTGAGTTTTTTCAATGCTTGCAGCTGGAAAGGCCGAGTCCGACACTTGCTTGACGGTCGAAGCTGACACCCCTGGAAACACTGATAGTTCAGGTGATATGTGGTTGAGTTTGTTCATGCTGCTACACCTTGGAGTGATGTGTTTAGCTTTTCTTTGTGGCCGTGCTTCAAAACGTTCAAGTTCAAGTGAGAAGCCTGAAAACACCGCCGTAGATGCCAGTGTACAGAAAGATGATCCAATTGTTTTGCAACGATGGCGCGAGATCGCCAAAGAGGAAACACAGAAAGCCAACGAATACTCTGCAGCAACTCGCGAAGCGAGAAAAGCTCTCGACCTCTTGACCACCGAGGCCAATGAGCTGAGATCCCTGGTCGAAGATGGGGATCAGTTGCTGAAGGCATTGGTCACCGAGATGGAAGATCATGCCCGAAAGTGTCCATGTGGAAAGGAAATTTTTGTAGTGCGAAAGGGACGATGCTGGCGCCATTTTGGTTGCCACATTTTGGAGCAGGCCGTGCCGGCCAATGTCCAGGCCGTACGCGGCTGCAGTTTCTGTGCAGAGCACCAGATTCCACCTGACCGCTACATTTACCCAGCGGGATGGTGCATTCGACACGATGTCGATATGTGGCTGCAAGACGCATCGCGTTTTGCTTTTGGCCAAGAACGGCCCATGTGAAGTGCACGCCGTGCACTAGGAAACGAAACCACAAACCTGTCCATCCGAGACTGGGTGGGCTCAAGCTTGCCAAAACACGCTTGCGGTGTGGCTGCCCCCGGGCGGCTTTGCGCGCGTTGCGCTTCGGTTCGTTCGCGCTTTTGCGTTCGACTTGTGTCGTGGACCTTGTGAGCCACTTCTACATCTTCATAGCATAATTATTGTATAAACCTTTGAAAGCATGTTATGACATATGCCTATTATATATCTTATATTTCATTTCATATCACATTTCACCAGATTTTTATTTATCATTACTGTACCATCAATGTTAAGAAATTTTATTACAGTGAATGATTTGATGTAATACTGCTATGGCATGACATGATATGACGTTTTTGTTGCACCGAAGAACCCTTTTGGTAAAACTGATTGGTGGGCAGTGCAGGGTCGTACTTTGTTCAACTGTTGAGATTCTGCTTGAAGCACATGGTGATCAACAACCCTTCCAAGAAGAAACAAAGACGTCTCATTGCTGAGGAAATTCCCGTATGACTTCCTCGTTATGCCAGCGAATCACACCCTGTGTCAGCCTCACAAAATGGCAAACTTGGTCGGCCGCTTTGCTGCATATCCATGCTTAGATTTTCTTGTCCTAGGGAGGCGCCGCCATCTCCCAACGACACGAATCCAGCAGTGGCAAGCTTGGTGTTGGTGCCCCAGCCTTCCTTTTGAGCCAGAGAGGGGGCAAGAGAAGAAGAATATAGAGCGAGGCAGGGAGCGAGCCACCAAGGGACGGAGGGAGTGGACTGATTCCGAGCGAGCAAGGCATGACAGGACTAATATTCTGGGAGCCTCAGGTGGGTCGTAAACTGTAGAGTCCCTTCCTGATATGCCGCCTTGCTTATCCTTGCTCTTTAAGTTCCAATGCCTTCTTTGGCGGGTCGCCTTCGACTCGCCTGCTTGGACGTAGAACTACCCTTCATGCTTGCTTGGACATTGCTGCTTATTTCTCCCACTTGCCACATCTACCTCCCTCATCGAATCCCATTGTCCAGTCCGCGTTTGAGTCAGTTAAACCAGTTACTGTAGTCGCCAAGTTTGGATGTGACTTTCTTCGCCCTCCCCGTCCACCCAATCACTTAACCTGTTTTGATTGAAGTGGGCTCCATAGTGTTTTGCTCGGTTTGCTGCCTGAGGCCGCCTCAGACATTCAACGTGAGTGAGAGGCGGATGTTCAAATAGCTGATTGCTCATGTCAGTCAGAACATCATGGCGGTGCCCGATGAAATGAGGCTTTGGCACGCTGTAATGCTGAAAATAACGGATGAAGCTTGGAACTTACTGTAAATCTCTTGCTTGATTGAGCCCAGCCGCTTAGGAAAACACATGACCAGCATTGCAAGAAACTCGAGTCTTCCTTTAAGTTCGGTTGCTCAGGCCGGCAACGACAGTCTGATTGATAGGTGGGCAGCCTCAGAGAATTGAACCTGTTTTTGTGCCATGTCGAAGACCGACAACGATCACCTGAACAGATTTTAGCAGAGGAGAAGTTACTTCCTTTCTTGACACAAGCCTGCCCACTTGCAGCCAAAATGATCCAACATGTATCTATATAATTAATCCCTTTGGTACAGTGTGTCAGCATGTTTGAGACCTATTTACTGTGCTGTGCTGCTTTCTTTTGGAAACTCAGGTCGCTTGTCAATGCCACCTTCTCAATCCTACCCAGAATCGCAGCGTGCCCCGGGCCACGCTTTCCAAAATAGTGTTTCCTTGGCGGGCTCAGCTGTGGAGTTTTACATAGTTTTATATGTTGGGCCTGCCCCCCACAGTAACAGTCGTAAAGGGTCAGGGCCCTTAAGCCATACCCCCAAAACCCACAATCATATTCAAAGTCATTTAGGTAAATGGTAAATTGGATTGCAATTTCTGGTCTAGGAAATGCAAATGATTGGATCAGTGGGCGGGTTCTGGTCTAGGAAATGAAACATGATTGGTTCGGTGGGCGGGCTAACTCTAAAGAAGACAAATCTGAACATATTTGCAAACCAAAAACAACCAACATCATCCCTTCATATCCCTTCACTAATTGGTCAACCTCAAGTGGGAATTCAAAGAATGATTGACCCTACTTACCACAAGATTAATCTGTTGCTCTCACAGCAGGATGAGAGCCAAGTCCAAATTGGCTCTGGCTCCCCGCTCCCCACCCCTGGCTTCCGGCTCCCCACCCATCGCTCCCGAATAAATTCCGATTCAGAAACTACGATTCAGAAACTACGCCGCCGAAACTACGATTTGAAACAGCACATCAAACACAGGCCCACAGAAGCGTAAGCGAATTCAACACGGCAAACGCCTCATCATGCGGATTTTAGGGGGGTGGGGGGGTACGAGGGTGGCGGGGGTGATAATGACGTGGGGGTGAAAAGGTTTCCCCGTGTCGCTTTCAGCTGCAAGGGCTCAGTGTGGCCATTTCATTAGTTTTTCTTTGGCTCCTTCTTGGGATAACCGCCATGGTTGCCGAATCAGACGGTAGTTTCCGAATCCGGTCGTAGTTTCCGAATCTTAGTTTCCGAATCCGTCCTTGACCATCGCTCCCGGCTCCCCATCCCGTCGCTCCCGGCTCCCCACCCCGTCGCTCCGGCTCCCCACCCCAAATGTTCAAAAATCCCTCCAAATTCCTGTGTTTTTTTGGCTTGATTTGTGGTCGTCTTCTGCCCTGGGCCACAAATCATACCACACAAAACCACAAGTCATACCACAAAAAACAAACGCGACCACAAATCATACCACAAAAAATGCTACAAAAAATACACAAGTCATACCACAAAAAACACAAATGCGACCACAAATCATACCGCAAAGGAAACAAAAAAGCACAAGTCATACCACAAGAAATGCAACAAACACGACAACAAATCATACCACAACAAAAAATAAAAGGACCGGATAACCGCACATGATAAGTTTTACAAATTTCAAATGCATATGAACATCACACGGGAGACGGAGTAGTGAGATGAAAAGTCAAGAACGAAGTGTGAGGAGAGAAGGTATATGATGCGGTTGCGCTAAGACGTGTAGTATAAGTGATGATGTGATGGACGAGGATGAGAATGGGGAGGGAGGAGGTGTGTGTGTGTGGTAAGATGGCGTGCGTAGTGAGTGGGTGAGTGAGTGAGTGAGTGAGTGTGGAGTGAGTGGAGTGAGTGGAGTGAGTGGAGTGAGTGGAGAGTGGAGTGTGGAGTGTGGAGTGTGGAGTGTGGAGTGGAGTGGAGTGGAGTGAGTGAGAGTGAGTGAGTGAGTGGGTGGGTGGGTGGGTGAGTGAGTGGAGTGGAGGGAGTGGAGTGGAGTGAGTGGAGTGAGTGAGTGAGTGAGTGAGTGAGTGGAGTGAGTGAGTGAGTGAGTGAGTGAGTTGAGTGAGTGAGTGAGTGAGTGAGTGAGTGAGTGAGTGAGAGAGTGAGAGAGTGAGAGAGTGAGTGAGAGTGAGTGAGAGTGAGTGAGTGGGTGGGTGGGTGAGTGAGTGAGTGAGTGGAGTGGAGGGAGTGGAGTGGAGTGAGTGAGTGGAGTGAGTGAGTGGAGTGAGGGAGGGAGTGAGTGAGTGAGTGAGTGAGGTGTGTGTGTGTGTG